GCACACCGACACAGAGCTCGGCTGGCAGGGAAAGGGCGGGGAGGGGGAACCCGCTGTCCTGCTGACAAAGCCTTCATCTTTAATTCCTTTTTTTTATTTTTTAGGGGAGACTGGCGCGTCCAGGTGCAGAAGCTCCCACTGCATGGGGTGTAACCCTGGTCACCCACATCCCGCTTGGGCTGGATTACCCCAGTCGGCAAGCTGGATCGCTCTCTTCTTTAGACGGGCTAATCCTTTTAGTTCATTAAGTATCTCTGAATGTACCGTGCGGAGTCACTGAGCACCTAAATTCAGGCAGCGACCCGTGGTTGGCAGTGCCAGGCCTGCCCTGACACCCACCGAGCACTGACGCCTGACCCTGCTGTAGGCCCACAGCCACCCGAACTGCCCCTGAATTCCCTGGCAGGGCCAAAAAGCGCGGCGAGAGGAGGGCGAGAGTGAACAGGCTGTATCGGACGTGAGGAGGAACAGGGAAGACTGTCGTATGTGCCATGTGTTTTTCATGCATGGTGGGCTTTTTATACTTTTCTGTCTATGTACGCACAGAAAAGCCGTCTTCCTTTTTTTTTTTTTTTTAAAACAGGTTATTATTCACAAGTAAAAGAAAGCTTTGAGACCAGAGGAAAACATGAAACATGACTTCCAGAGAAAAGATAGCCAGAAGTTTCAAAAAATCTTCCCCGGAATGTGTCTTCACTCACCATAGAAAAGGCACTAAATAATAGGAAACTTTCCCAATCCCAAACTCTGGCTGCAATTCTTGCCTTAAATAGAAATAAAGTTGATCCCATGAACAAACAATGGTGAAGAAAAGGTGTTTTCAAGGGTTTGAAACCTATTCTGTACACTCAGGGACCTCCAAGTTGCAGCAGGAACCTGGGCTCGTGAGCCTACTTTCCAAAACCCGAGTTGTAACCCTGATCTTGGTCCTACCAACTTTCAAAATGTAAAGGTAGGCATGGGACAGGAGTCAGCAAGGGGTTAAGGAAAAATGGTTTTACGGAAAATGGTCTGAGTATTCTTCCCAGCTCCAGGGGACCTCTGAGATGCAGTAGGAACCTGGGTTCTTCAGCCTGCACTTTCCCAAATTCTAGCCCTTCTCCCAGTTTTAAATCTACCCTAAGCTAGAAATCAGGTCCAGTCCTTGAGAAGTGAATGACAGAAGGTAAAGTAACACTTTAAACCAAGATGAGCCTTTTTCCTTTTTAATCAGTGTTCTCAGTGAGGCATTGAGAATTTAGGTTTCTCGAAACTATGCTTGTCCAAACCCTAATCGTATCATCAGCTGTCACCCTGACTTTCACTCCAAGTACTGTTATATTTCAGAGATGTAAAATTAATCATTAAGTAGTGAAAAAAGGACTGAATCCCTTGGAATCACTTACCAGATCCCTTGGAATGTCTTACCCTTCTCAGTTAGGAGTGCCCTTGTAGCCCCATGTATTAGTAAATACAGTATTGCTGTTGCTGGTAACAAGCCTAAGGCTTTATGTTGCGTTAACACAGGCCTGAGGGCTTGTCAGGCTTTGTCTGGACTAGTCTCAACTAGCACGGAGCTTTATTTCAGCTTGTTTATCTGTGTCAGCAATTGTCTAAGGAGCAGGTGGCTCTTACCTTTTTG